GCCCTTCGGGCTCCATCTGGGTCGGGGCGGGCCGGCGACAGGCGTGGCCTCCAGGAGGCGGTGGTGAGCAGCGATGATCGGCAGGGGCTGGCGGCATCGACGCCAGCTTGCTGCAGCGTGGCCGGCGGGACTTAGCAGGCCCGTTTTGGGCCTAGCCGGGCCGGGGTGGCCTGGTATGCCCCGCTGCCGTGTCCGGACGGCTACCGCGACGGTGCCGGAGGCGCGGGCCTCCCGCACGATGGCGGTGGAGGTGGTTCCCTCCCGCTCGGCCTTGATGCTGCTGCTCCCGTCGCTCAGATCTTCTCTCCGCTCTTCTTGGCCTCGTGGTGGTGTTCGCAGCGAGACGGTGTTGGTGACGGCGCAACCGTCGTGGCGCATAGTTGGTCGGTGGTTTGGCTGGTCGGCTCCGATTGGCTGGTGGGGTTTGGCGTGCGGGAGAAATCCTCACCGGTTCGTCCGGCTCCGATGCGGTGACACCAGCGGGTGCCACTATCCCTTCTTGGAGGGCGTCGGGAGTAGCTATCCCCCACCTCCCTCCGCGTACTGGGGGAAACCCAAGGACTTGTTCGGGCAGCAGCGTCGTCGGCGTCGCATCCCTTCTTGGAGGTGCTGCTTAGTTCGCGGAAGTTCGGAGCCTTGGGCTGTAGTGGTTTGTTTCCGGAGGGCGCAGCGGTCGCGGGTCATCCGCGCTTTGTCGAGCTGCCGTTGTTGGCATTTTTCTTCTTCTTCCTTTTCTTTGAGCTTGTTGTGCTGCTCGCCCCAGCATTACGATGTGTACTTTGGTGGTTTGCTTTGGAATACAAAGCGGGGGGAAACCCTTTTTCGGTAAATTGAATGGGCTGCCATGACGTGTGTTAGAGTAATGGGCTGCCAGTTTGCTAGTATCCGAAAACTGCACAGATGAAACTGCAACAAACTATGCTCAGGGCAAAAACCCAAATGTGCCATTCTTTTCCTAAGGTGGAGGGAGGATCACTGACGTGGATAAGCTGCATGTAAGATTAAAAAAAAAATAGTGGCGGTCACTCTCTTAGGCATACATGATTTGAGATGTGTTCTTTTTATCTAATTGTCACGCAACTGTGATTCTTCATATGTGTTTTTTTAATCTAGACTAGAAGTGTTTTTCTGCTGACCAAAACCGTAGATACTTTGTTTCACTTTTTAATAAAACTGGTGGTACTTCTTAGTGCAGCAGGAGGAAAACGGGTCGCGCCTGCCCATTTTGATCTCGCTCCGTGCTCGATGGGCCAGCAGCCAGCAGTAACATGGCGTGTGAATCGTTTTCCGCACACACATCTATTGTCACACGGAGACCTTTATGTTCCTAGAATTTCTGTGGCTTCGGATTGCATGATAGTGGTTGATGCTATTAATGAGCTAATTTTTGGTGTTGTAGTTGGAGAAATATAGTCGCCGGAGCTAAGATTTATTTGCAGTTTGTTCCTTTAATCATGAATTAAAAACCTCTATTGTTGAGGTTCATAATCTCGCAAAGTATACTTTATCCTTGGGTTTGGTCGCCGTGCGTGGTTAGGTCAACCCGACGAACTTGTATTCATCCCTGTAAACGTTGAGTCGCCGTAATAATGCATAATGAGGTTCTACAACAAAAAAATCTATTGTCACCCGGATCCATCCCGGCCATCCACCCACCTTCTCCTGTACTATATGAGTACAGGGGGGACGAACGCACGCTAGGATACACACAAGAGTACCTTAAAAAAGAAGATACACGCAGGAGTGTTTGTTGAGACGAGATACATGCACAAGTGTCACCTCCTCCGTATAGTTTTGTCTCTCTTTTTTGTTCTGGTGTGATTTCTGGATGCCTTGATTAGCGGCGAGGTGTGTATCTTGTGGCAGAAATACAAGTGCAGGAAGGTGACACGAAGGTGACCTGGGAGACCAGGGCATTAAACAACGCCACCGATGCTGCAGAGGCTGACAAAGGAGCGCCTCTGAGGTGGCAGCGGCCGGCCATAGGTATCCAAGGAGAGGGAGGTGTTCTTCAGTTTCAGTAACCTTGTTTTGCCTTGGTAATTTGATTTGGCTGCGTCTGGAAATGCCTTCACATTTACCACGATTGTGTTGTTCCAACGCAATTTTTGGTGGTCAAACTTTCATTTCAGAAAAAACAGTGCCCACTGCCCAGTGCCAGCCATTTCTCTAGGGCGCAGTGCCGGCTGGCTAGTGCCTAGTGCAGAGTGCAGAGTGCAGATGCAAGTCAGAGTGCAGATACAGCTATACAAGTGTACTTGCCCTTTTGAGTTTCGAGGATTCAAAAACCCCAAACCAACTGCAGCTCCGTCACTCAATGCGAGGGCACCAACTCAGAGCCAAGAGCACTTTATGGCCATTGTATAGCCATTTTTTCACCTGGTGATTTGACCCATCAGATACATTCTCCACCATGCATGGACACATTTTGCCACAGATTGTTCTTTCTTAGAGATGTCACAGGCACATAATGAACACTGAGGTCACCCATGCATGCAACACCCAGCCCAAACGCCAAAAATAGCATGACTTTTGTTAAGGTGCTAGTCTTATGTACGTGGTCATCTGTATATTAACAAAACAGAACAAAATCAAACCTTGTCTGATGATCGTAACAAGAGACAAGACAGAGGCACCAACTTAAAAGAATCTCCTAACCTTCATGCGTGTCTTCCTATCACCGCACAATATATTCTTTGTCTCATCGTCTCTTCTTCTCAGAAAACACGTTTAGTTGGCCTTCTCTTCTTATAAGCACCCCTCCACACCACACACCCATCTCCAACCCGCCTCCTCTTCTCCCCCTAGTTCATTGTTCAAAGTTCAAACACATATTTTCTGTCTCTACTCTCTGCTTCCTCATTGCCCCTAAGCTCGTGCGGTGGTCTTCGTCCTCTTGCGACGCTAATGGCGTGCCTGTCCTCCTCGCCGTCCGGCCGGCGCCTGTCGGAGCTGCTGGAGGAGAGGCAGGAGCCCTTCTCCCTCGACCTCCACCTCCTGGAGAAGGGCTGCTCGGGCCGGCTCCTCGATGGCTATGACACCGCCATGTGTTGGCCAGCCGCAGCCGCCGGCAACGACGCGGCGTCCGTGCTGAAGCGACTCACCAGCAAGAAGAAGAAGGCGGCACCCAGCTCCCGTGGTAAGAAGCGGCAGCAACAGCAACCGGCAGCAGGCTCCGGTCTCCTCCGGCTGCTGCTCTCCAAGATCCTCCACGGCAAGGCGACCAACCAGAAGCCCGCCGCCCTGCAGTGCTCCGACTCCTTCAAGAGGGTCGCTCCGTCGCCGTTGCCTTGCTCCTCCAAGCATCTCGACGCCCTGAAGCTCAGGGCCGACGCAGGGGTCGTCGGCGGCCAGGAGACGGAGTACTCCGACTCCGAATACGACGACGAGAAGCAGCAGAGCCCGGTCTCCGTTTTGGAGCACCCGTTCGAGAGCTCTCCTGTTCACGGGCAGAGCAGGTTCTCCTACGTGCAAGACTCGCCCAAGAACGCCATGGCCATCGTCCGGGAGCTCCTCATGGAGATGGAGACGGCGTACACGCCTGCGCTGTGCACCCAGTTGTTCGCCAAGTCCGAGGACCTCGGCATTGACGCCAACGATCTTGTCGACCACGACGCCGACGACGACTACTACTATCGCACGAGCCCTAAGAACTTCCAAGAGGAAGACGGGACCAGAGCCGCCGGAAGCCCCGCCACCGGCGCCGCCTACTGGGCGACGCACCGAGCGGAGCTGGCCAGGGTGTCTGAGCTAGTCTCCTCGGAGGTGCCAAAGTCGAGACTGGACGCCGCCAGCGTGCAGCCGGAGCGACGGGACGTCGGCGCCGACATAGAGAACGCCTTGCTCGATGCTTTGGTGCTGGAGCTCGTCATGGATCTCGGTGACTGCTAATCGATAGCGCCCAGTGTAGGTGCAGGACGAAGAACAGGGCGGCGACCTCTGCGTTGCGTTGCTCTGTTTTTGTTGGGTAGTTGCTCATAGGCCGGGCCCTAGTACTCAGTGCCAAGTGGAAGCTGTAGACTGATAAGCAGGAAGTAATTGAGAAAAATATACATTAATGAATTCATTTGTTCTTTATGGCTTAACTAAACAGAGAGAAAGCTCTGTCCTTTTTAGCCTACATAAACTAGCTCTGGGTTTGCACACGAAGACGTCATCGTGTACCATCGACTTCGAGCGTGTGCTACGCAAGATACATTGAAGGAGGAGCCTGGTCGGGAGCGCTATACGCAAGACACACGGTGAAGATTTTTTGAAGACCCGAAGCCCCACACATCCAGGAGTGCCGCGTCAATGCGAGCACTGGCTATGTACTACCCCGGGTCGACCATAAGGCCTCAAGGTTCACAGTCGTTGAACACGAAGAACAACGAAGAATGAGGAAGAAGAAACACAAAGGAGAGATAAATACAAATGGCGAAGGTAAAAAGTGATAGATTAATTTGTCGATTGTGTGTTGTTCAATCAACCATCACATCTAACATATATGTGAGGCGGCTAGATTTCCCGTATAAGAAAATGACTACAATTCTTGTCCAAAGTGTGAAAAAATCGACCTAACTCAGAATCACCCGCGGGCACCTGGTCGGATTGTGTAGCCAAAATTTGGCCAGATAGTCCAGCCATCTCGAGATCTGCAAACAATAGCACTGTTTGCGGGGTTTAGAGGTCGCATATGACCACAAATGACCCCCCCCCCCAAAGTATTTGTCTCGATGAGATGAACAACTTTCGTATTGAACGTTCTAGGATTCAAGGTCATATTGAGAATGTTTCGTCTCGTTTTCTCACTAGTTGAGCTAAAAAAGCACGAAACCTTGCAAAAGTGCATCTAATCCCCAAGGTAAATCTTGATAATTCATGTCAACATATCTTGAAGAATTAATGAGACTTCCAAGTATATTTCAGGAAAAATTCTTTTAGGTACAACATTGGAATGAAAGGTGGCCCCTAAAAAAGCTTAAAGATATGTGTTGGACAAGCCAACGGATTCTATATTTTTATTTTACTCATCTAAGATCTGATTGAGTCCATAGGCATGTCGATACTATTAAGGGGATGAGGATTTGACAATGAGCCTTTTGCTCCATGTGCTTCAAGATGATCAAACTCCAAACCTCCTCAAAATCCTTCAAGATTTTTCAATATATCTACCTACTCATTTCCATTCGGTGTTGCCGACGCACTTTCACTCGGAGCCACCGATACAACCAGATATAGTCTTTGTTCCAAACCCTAGTTCAATCGGGGCCTCCAACATTCCATTTGGAGTCACCAAAGCGACTTGGCAAACCTTCTATTCTCATGTCTGAATTTCCGGGCAAATTCAATCAAAACTTTCGACGTTAACAGAGAGGGTGCCAATGCCAAGTTACCCACCTCAAAGCCACTGACTGAAATAAGTCATACCCACTGATGCGTTTAAAAGTTGTCACTATTGTTCAACTCGGGGCCACTCAGCACAACTAGTCGGAGCCTCCGAGTTGTGCATAAAATGTCTAACGGTTAGATTTTTGGTCCAGTCTATTTATACCCCACATATCCCACCAGTTAAACTAGAGAGAGAACTCCACCTCCATGTGTTGATTTCAAAGGGCAATCCACCCCAAGCATCCAATCAACCCTTTGATATCTAACCCCCTCTTTCTTTCCACTCCTACCTTCTCCAAATCCATGACCAGTTCTTGAGAGTGTTTTAGTCTTGAGGAGATTATCTTTTGAAGCACAAGAGCAAGAGATCCACTATCAAGCAATCACTACTAGGGAAAACCTTATACACAGAAACTTCTCAGTAGTGTGGGCTAAAAAGAGGCGCTACTACAATTTACCACTAGCGCGTGTAAACTAAACGCGCTGTAGCTAAGTTTGTAACAGTAGCGCGTCTCACAGAAGAAGCGCTACTACTACAATTCCCCTACTATTCTCGCCAGGCTACCAATAGTAGTAGCGTGCTTAAGGAAAGCGTGCTGCTGCTATGATTGTTGTAGCAGCGTGTTTTACGCAGAAAGCGCTACTGCTAAGGAAAGAAAAATAAAATGAAAAACATATAGAAAAGTAAATGAAAATAAAAGAAATAGAAAAAGGGGAAGGAAAAAAGAAAATATGAGTGAAAATAAATGAAAAAGAAAAAGAAGGAGAAATGCGTAGCAGCAGCGGGTTTTCTGGAGAGGCGCTATAGCGAACTTAGCAGTAGCGTTTGTTGCCATCCAACATCATAGCTAATTTAGCTATAGCTAAAGTAGAAGTAGCGCTATTCCTGGAACGCGCTACTGCTACTTTTGACTTAACCACGCGCGGTTCTTCTTCCCCACGGCCACTCCCCCCAAATCGAACTCGCGCGTCTGCTGTTGCCGCCGTCGTCACCCGGCCGCCGCACGCTCTTCCGTCGCCCTCCGCACGCCCTCGACGCCCCCCTACATCGCCGCCCCCAACCCCGACCCCGTCCCCAACCTCAAGGCCGCGTGCCCCTCTCCCTCGGTCGCTCCCTAACTCCGTCGGCGCCCGAGGTGAGCACGCCCTCCTCCTCCTCCTCCTCCTCCCCTACCTCTGCCTAGCTAGAGTTCCTAGGGTTAAACTTTAGAGTTCATGTAATTAGTTAGGGTTCATCAAATTAGATACTAATTAGGGCAATAGTTGTAGATGCTTAAATGTAAACTAGATGTTAATTAGGGCAGTAGTTGTAGATGATTAATTAGTTTTTAGGACAAAATCCTAGGGTTCATCAATGGGTGCTTAAGTAGTTGTAGATGCTTAAGTACCTAGGTAGGGTTTTTAGTAAGAACTAGTTGAATTAATAGAACTAGTTTTTTCGTAAGAACTAGTTGAATTAATAGAACTAGTTGAACTACTTTATTTTTAGTAAGAACTAGTTGAATTAATAGAACTAGTTTTTTTAGTAAGAAAATTAATAGAAGTAGTTGAACTAGTATATTTTTAGTAAGAACTAGTTTATTTTTATTTATAGTAAGTGGTTAGTTGAACTAGTTGACTTAATACAACTATTTTATTTTTAGTACGAAAATTAATAGAACTAGTTTACTTTTTTAGTTAAAGCAATTATTCCCGCATCGACGTCGATGATGCCTATCCCGCATCCTCGTCGTCGACTCGGCGGAGGAGGCCTGCTTGATCAGAGGGGCCATGTCCGGGACTGGGCTCCGCCGGGCTGGTACCGGGATGTGCTACCTTCCGGGAGGCGCAGCTTGATGAGGAGCCAACCCGTCGTTGACCCGAACCTTCTTTGGTGGCGGTCGCGTGGGCCAGTGACGGTGCGGAGGCTTGAGGACCCCGTGGAGGTGGTACGTCACCGTGTCATCGAGGAGGACGAGCACGTCTGTCGCTACATGGTTGCATTGGAGGGTAGGTTCTCCAATACCTGGTAGGTTCTTCAGGGATCTCACTGGAGCTATGATCCTGTGATGATTCCTTCTCTTTGGGTGTCCACCGCCCGGGCCGATACCCGTCGTTCGCTAGGGTTTTAGCTGTATTAATGAGGTTATATGTATGAGACTATTTGAGATGTATTAGTGATAATATTCGATGATGTACGGACACAAGATATGATTTAGTTTTGCTTATTGAATGCATGCTAATTTGAATACTAATTTATTTTATGATTTAGTTTTTATTATTGAATGCTCAAATTGGAGAACTACTCCTATTTTGAATGCTCAAATTGGAGAGCACTATTTGAATACTATTTTGTTTTTGCAGCCAAATCTCCATGTCGTCGCCGCCGTCGTACCCGTCACAGGCCCCCTCCGACCTCTAGGTGAGACTAGCCAAATCTCCATGTCAATATGAGTCCTATTAGATATTTTGAAATGTTTTTGTTCATTTTTTCAACCATTGAAATGCAATGACCATCAAGTTTGAATGCAATGACCATCAAGTTTGAATGCAAATAGGATATGTGCTTGCCCAAGTGGCCATGTTTGTAGGTAACACCTCCGAGTGGCCTATGTTTTGCCGGAGTGTTGATTAATTTCCGTTTCGGCAAATTTCAGACGCTCGATATGTCCTTTTTTAGCAAAGGTCATGCCGGATTTTTCCGTGAATTTTGGCATGACTTGTGCTAGAATATGTAGGAAATATCGAGTGACCTGGATTTTCTAGAAAGATAATTAAACGACATTTCGGGTTGACTTTAAGTCTATAGAGGCTCCACACATGAGAATCAAAAAATGAGTGAGGGAGAAAGTCTGCACCATATATGGGAGAAGAAGAAACCCAACTGTTGTCATGGGGGTCAATTCTCCTTCTTCTCCTTGTGCTAGACCTTTGTTAGGCACTAGGGGAAGGAGGAGTAACGACCATCACCGACGGTCGAAAAATCAGTGAGGGAGTGTGTCCACCATATATGAGAGAAGAAGAATGCCGACTATTGTCGTGGGGGTCGCTTCTCCTTCGTTCCGTGTGCTAGACATTTTGGTTTAATGCACTCGGGGACGAAGGGAGGAATGACTATCACCAACGGTCGAATATACACACCACGTGAGCTGAGAGTTTTCAAAAAAAAGACTCGACGGACCGATAGTCAACCCGTGCTGAATAATAATGATCTAATTTAGTTTTTGTAGTACATATATTGATTTTTAGAAGTTTAATCTTTGAATTATGAACATAGGAAATGTCGTCGGACGAAAGTCTCACGGAGTGCTCCTGGTGCGGCGCCAACTGGGGTTTCTTCGACAGGCCTCACTTGATAGAAGGTCGGCGCTTCAGCATTAAGCTCCAGGAGGCCTTCAATGTTGAAACGGTATGCTACAATGCAAAGTGTTTTTTTGTAATTAAGCTCGACTTCTACTACTTCAACGTTTAATTTTCGCCTTTTACAATTCGACTAGCTTATCCCATGCCATGCAAGACTGTAAGGGCATATTTATCCCTTA